AAATCTTTAAAAAAAAAAAAAAAAGAATCAGTGTGTTCACTTGGCAGAATGAAAACGGACCGAAGGGAAAGTAAGCATTAATCTTAAAAACAGTGAAAATGTTGCAAAAAGCTGCCACATGCAGGCACTGTGCTGAGGCCTCACGCCTGTCACGCTGTGTCTGCGTAGCCCCCTCCCCGCGGGGCCTGGGTGGTACTGTTTCCATCCATTTACAAAGGAGAATGCTGTGGTTGGGAAAGAGTAAGGCACAAGAAGTCACATAGTGCAGGAGTCCATGTGCATGGAAGACCCAGAAGAAACTCTGTAGAGACAGAAGTGGGTCAGTGGTGGCCATGGGCTGGGAGGGGGACACAGGGAGCCATGGCTGGTGGTGCTGGATTTCCTTTCAGGGTGAGGAGACTGTTTTAAAAACAGAGCGGTGGGCTGCACAATGTGGTGTACATAGGAAGTACCACTGGACCATACACCTTAAAACGGTTGAATTTATGTTACATGAATTTTACCTCAACAAGAGTGACTTCCCAAGGCCCACGGCTCATCGTGGCTGAGTGAAGATTTGAGCCCAGGCTGCCTGTCCCTCAGGCCCTGTCTCTGAACAACCACTCTGTACTGAGCAAGAAGGGGCATCCTTGGGGCTCCCTGAGGCCCCATCAGAGTCTGGCATGCAGGAGGCCCCCAGTGAACATTTGTTGATCAAATGCATTAATGGACCTGGAATATCTGCTCCCAAAGTTGTCTGCAATCATCATGTACACCTCGAAACCCCCTGATGACCAGCAGGATATTCATCCCAGTGTCTCTCCTCTAAGTTGCCAGTTCCTCCATCTTAGGGAACAGGTGTTCTAGAGAAATGGCCGTATTCATGAGGTTCATTAGGATGCCTCACAGCTGCAGCACAGATAGCCACCTCAGGAGAGTGCGGAGTGAGAAGTGCTAGTAAGGGAGGCAGATAGAAGGAGCCTTGCCCTTCCAGAGACGGGCAGAGCTGGCCCGAGCCCTCCCCCACATGCCCACTGACCAATGGCAGCTGTGAAGTACATCGAGATCTCGTCCGGGGTCAGGGCCCGTTCCCAGATGATGAACTCATCAAAAGCTCCATCCTCATAACGCTTGGTCTGGTCCTGCTCAGACCCTATCACGAGGTTGACGCTGGGCTCCCCATAGGCATGAGACACTTTGCCACTTGGGTCAGAGGTGCTCAAGGTCCCATTGACGTAGACTTTCAAGCCTTCCTTGGATTTCCATGTAAACAGGACATGAGTCCAGTAGGGACCTAGAAAGAGCAAAGATCACTATTCTGCTGATGTGGGAAGAGCTCCCCATGCATGTGTCTCCCAGTTGTTAAGCACATCCCTCTTGAGATGATTAGTCACTGTTAACCTTGGTGAGTCCTCATATGGATCATAATGTAGCTCTCACTTTCCTCAGTCCTTTGAAGCACAGGGAAGAAATTACCTCATCCCCAAAATTCCAGAAGCAGTCCAAAGAGACCCTTTGTTATTTTAAATTAAATGAAATAATAGCTAATGGCCATAACTTGTTCAAAAAAATTTTTTTTTAGTCCTGCCTGGGCCATCACAGTGCAGGTCAATAAAACCTATCTAATAAAACTTATCTGAGGGCCTGATTCAGCCCACAGCAGTTGGTATCCATCTCTGCTCTGACATAGTATGTGTGATATTAACCAACATGGTGGTAAAATGGTAGGGCCACCCTCCTGGCTCATTCTCTCTGGCATGAGAACCAGAGTCACCAATAAGCAGAATGTTCGTCAGACTGACGGCAGCTTGCCCCACAAAGGGCCTCACTTTGTTTTGCAAGTGTTGTGTTAAGACATCTCATGGGCTTGCTTCTGGAAGGAACAAGGCAGCCCTTTAAAGGACATGGATCACCTTGAGCCAGACACCATCTTAAATCACCCAGCAATTAGCTATTGGGACATCACCAAAATAAAAGCTTCTGCACAACAAAGGAAACATTCAACAAAACCAAAAGGCAGTCTATGGAATGGGAGAAGATATTCACAAATGACATATCAGATAAAGGGTTAGTATCCAAAGTATGTAAAGAACTGATACAACTCAACACCCAAAACAAATAACACAATTTAAAAAATGGGCAGAAGATATGAACAGACATTTCTCCAAAGAAGACATCCAGTTGGCCAACAGACATTTGAGAAGATGCTCAACACCACCCATCATCAGTGAAATGCAAATCAAAACCACAATGAGATACCACCTCACACTGGTCAGAATGGTTAAAATTAATAAGGAAACAACAGATGTTGGCGAGGTTGTGTAGAAAAGAGAACTCTCTTACACTGTTGGTGGGAATGTAAGCTGGTGCAGCCACTCTGGAGAATAGTATGGAGGTTCCACAAAAAGTTAAAAATAGAACTACCCTACAATCTAGCAATTGCACTACTAGGTATTTACCCAAAGAACACAAAGATATGAATTCAAAGGGATACATGCACCCTGATGTCTATAGCAGCATTATCTACAATAGCCCAATCACGGAAATGGCGTCCAGCGACAGATGAGTGGATAGAGAAGATGTGATACACACACACACACACACACACACACAATGGAATATTACTCAGCCATAAAAAATGAAATCTTGCCCCTTGCAATGACATGGATGGAGCTAGAGAATATAATGCTAAGTGAAATAAGTCAGAGAAAGACAACTACCATATGATCTCACTCATGTGGAATTTATGAAACAAAACAAAAAGAGACAAACCAAGAAACAGATTCTTAACTATAGAGAACAAATTAGAGGTTACCAGAGGGGAAGGGGTTGGGGGCTGGGTGAAATAGGTGATAGGGATTAAAGACTACACTTACCATGATGAAAAATAATTTTTTAAAAAGATAAAGTTCTATAAATCAACCAATCACCCAGCAATTACTCAGGACCTTTCTTGCTCAGGATTGTGCAGCTTTCTAATTTTGAGTCTTTGGAGAGCACTTGGGTCCTAAATGGGTCCAAAGTATTACTGTCTTTGAGCTTAAAGCAAGAATAACAGATTTCTTCAATGAACAAAGAATGTATTGCTAGGCAGAAATGTTTACAATTCTCCCCATTTCCCTGGGTGGAAAAAGAGAGTTCAGTAGACTTTACCTTAAAATATGAGGTAAAGAAGAATAGAATAATAGAAAATAGAAGAAACCTATTAGGCGCTCCATACGTGTCAGCCCCGAGGAGCACAGAGATAAGACTCTTACAGAAGAACCTGACCTTGGGTAGAACATGATAAGCACCATGAACAAGGTACAGGCAGTTCTGTATGGGGGGAGGGGAGGCAGAGATTCTTCCTGGGCTGGGATCGGAGAAAGCAAACAGGCAAGATTCTCCCAGACCTCTTGCAGAGGCGAGGTGGATATTCAGGCTTGGGGTGAGTGAGTAAGGCTCCCGGCTCACACAGGTAGCCTGGTACAGAGAAGGGCTTGACCCAGCCTGTTGGGCTCTAGAGTCGTCCGTGTCTTTTAACAACTGAGACACACAGCCTCTTCTTTAAATGGGTCAGAAAGAATTGTCCTTAAATATCTCAAAGATATCATTTCCTATCGGAGGCCTTCATTCTGCCCCCCTCCCCCTCCGTGCTTCCCTCCTAGTCCCCGGCCTGGACTGGGCTCCCCCTCAGCATCACCCCAACTCTTCTCTCCCTTGTCCAGTTTCCAGTTCGGACCCTCTGCTCCCCCAGCTTCCTGCCCCAGGCCTCTGACTCGTGCCCAGTGCATGACCCGATCTCATGCCACAGAGAAAGCAGGAATCTCCAGAGCCATGCAGGCCCCACAACACCCACCTGCAAACTCTCCAACGTCTACTCAGTCCAATGTTGCCCCCAATTGTCCCAGAGCACCCCTCCCCACGGCTCCAAGTCCTCTCCTCCAGACCACCCTTCCTCCCCTCGTCTTCAGCCTCTGTTCCAGAAAATTTTCACATCCTATTCTAAATACTGCTAAGTCTATACCACTGGGTGGGGGG